TTTTTTTTTTTTGTCGGTAGACGGTCAGAAATAGAGGTTAGATCAACGAAGATAAATTGGAAGACTGTCAGAAAATCTCTGGATCCGCCCCTGCTTACTATGCCAGTGAAGTGGTTAGGTATAGTGGCGTGGTTATACTATATTACCGCTAAATGAATTGGCACTTATAAAACGGTATGATACATGTATAAGCAGCGTTTTTTAACAACACTCACATCGAATTATTCAAGGAATTTTATGGGGCAAGGGATTTTGGCCAAATGTGTCAATTCCCACCCGTCCCTATAACAGCTGTTCCATTTACCTAGCCACCTGTTTGCTGTTAGCCGTGGTCTCAACATTTTGTATCATGAAATGAACTTGCATAATCAATCAAAGATTGAATGCGATCAAACACCTGCTCCGACGCGGGAATCGATCTGTCGTTAAATCACTATGAATGATTGGATTATTTACGGCTGTTATTTGTTCGGAGGCATGATGTAATATGTGTTTCTTGGGTGTATTGAAGAGGTGGAAAACAACTGTTGACGTCACTGAGACTTAAAAGTTACTGGCGGTTTCGCTTCATTGGTGCGCATGTGGCATGGTTCGATGTCTTAAATACTTTGCCAGCTCTGATTTTTAAGTAAAGGTCTATTGGTGGAATATTTTGTCTTTAAGGTTAGGTATTGAGAGAGGAAAATCCTAATAAACCTCTGTTAACACCAACCGTTGACTTTGATGGACAGTTGTTTGACAAATGATAAATATTTATGGGTATTTAAAAGCCGAGTTGTATTGTTGTCATCGCCTCTGTCAATACCCTGCTTTTGCACGTGAAAGAGGAAATATTTTAAGACCTCTAAAAACAACTAGAAATATTTCTGCTGATTCTAATGTTCATTCATTACATAAAGTGAACTTATATGATTTATCATATCTTAAATAAACGAACCGAATTAAGGAATACGGTTTTAGGTAACGTTTAAGGTAAAATGCAACCGTTGTTCATGAAAAGTATCAAGTATGAAAGGAACCACGAGAGACAGATGTAACACGCATATAAAAAAAAACTCGTAAGTTTCATTTACTTTGTTCTTTATGTTTTAAAATATGTTTTCAAATCTGGACTTACCTCGTCAATATTTCCCAAATTCGACGTTTTATATCGGTAGAACATTTATTTCGTCATGCGTGCCTTATAATATCGATTGATTCGCTGTGGAATTTTTCAATCAAGACTAATTTAGATCAGCAGACTCCATCAGCTGGCCGATACGACCTAACCCAAAATTTTCTCTGCATTCATAAAACAATCTTGAAAACTTTCTCTACAGAAAGCATTTAGATGAAAAGTCACAGAAAATAACAAAACAAAGGAACAGTGTTAAAGGATAGAAAACTGAGGCGCGTTTCATTGGCGGGGACGCCTGTACTTCTTTATAACCGATGAAGGCTAAAGGGCGCTATAACAATGGCGCGATATTTGTGGACATGACTAAAAGAAAGGAATAGAGACCGAAGTGACAAAACATGACTTTACAGGCCAGGTCAAAGGGTCCGTGATGGGGAAGTCTGTAAGTGAAAATAATAGGCATGCCAAACAACAATTATAATATGTTTATGTACCCAGGTATATTTTTAAAATCTCGCCTAGTTACTCTGAAACAAATTAGCATTCACAAATTGGATTGGAGTTCATTGCGAGGGGTCGCTGCTGGGATTTCCAATGTCAGTTAAATATCGGTGAACTTGGGGGCAGTGCCAGTAACAGAACGCTAAGAACCCACTGCTCGTCGAGTTGAAAATTCAGCGCAGAAAAATAGCATAGTTCACGAGTTGTTTTGGGATCCTGACCTCTGTGCGAAGCGAACGTGATTGGAGGCCGTTGAACCGCAACGGCGTTAGCAGTTGAGGTGAGAAATAAGGTGGAATGAACTCTTTAATTCAAGATGCAGTCATGCTACACAGAGACGTCAACCGATCAAGGGTGAAATCAACGACGCTGCGTTTCATTATTAATACGTAAAGTCACTTTTCTAGCCGCAGGGAAGAAAACTTCCGTTCATGAGCAGAATACAGGTAACGTTGAAGAACGTATTTGGTACTCTTCAGCGGCTGAAAAATGATGAATGATTGAAAGTCACGTATAGGAGGTTTAAGCTATACCTTCATTGGCCTCGATTCTAACGCTTATTGTTTGTTAATACCTGAGCTTTGTAGAAAACCAAATTAAGTGAAAATGACGGTGGTGTTGGACAGTAGTAATGTATACAGATGTTTGGTTCTGGCTTCATATTACGTGCAATCGCTTGTTAAGGTGTCAAATTAAGCCCCCCATGGAATCAATCACAATTTCATCATTTGTTCACCCATAAATCCCGTATTGATCAGTACTACGTCATTGCTTCATTAATCAGCATGAATTCCGTTACATGATATACAGAAAATATGATTATGCAACTGCTCAGGCAGCGTATTTTTTCAGTAAACATGTTTCTGCGTTTTGGGGAGGAGAAGTGCTTGATTATTTAGCACAGGTGTGAAGTATATTCAGAAGTATTGGGCTTGCATGACATTTCATTAATTCATCATTAATGCCATAGAAAAACGCGCAGCGTCTGTGTTGGGGATACTAACTAGCTCTGCACTTGAACAAGACTTGCTAAAAAGACATTTTACTGGAAAGTTTAAGTGCGTTGGTTTATTTCAAAAGAGAATCAAGGAATAAAAAAAATTGGCAGCATTTTTGGCACAACAAATTTAACCGGGGACAGTACGTATATATAAGTATATATATATCTAGTATAATATATATATATATATATATGTAGGTATATATATATATCAGAGTAAATCTGCAATTTCAAAGATTTCATTTGCGTGTGCACGCATGTAGTACCAGTACCAGTAGTACTTGGAAAATCTAATAAGAATGAAATAAACAGTGCATGGAAATTCTTGCGTGAGAGATTGAATAACTGCACAGCTTGACATGCATTAATAACTAATGTGATTTACTGTTCAGTGATATTTTGAGTGTGCCCACTCTGACAGAAGAAAAAAAATGTGCTGGTATAGAGGCAACATTGCAGAAGCCTATAGCAGCAATATGGACATATGATACAGCCTCAGGGCGCGGGAAGTGTGCATTATGTGTAGGCATTCTTCACACATTTAATCCAATATTCGCTATGCTTTTTCTTTGGGATTCAGAAATCTCACGAAGAGTATTATGCAGTTTCCTTGTCTCCATTATCGAATACTAAGTATATGTGGATTTGGAAATGCCTTAGCCATGGTGTGTAAAATATCAGACAAACAAGGGTCAAAAAGACGACGCAAAAAGTTATTAATTACTGGGGCATGACGGCTTTTTTGAATACAGCAAAAAGTTGGCACATGCAAATCTGCGATTTGATTAGTTGCAAAATAGCTTGCATATTTAGACTATTCACTGCAAGAGTGTGGATACTTGGCTCTCCAATTGAATCACAAATACGGTTCGTCGCGCAGGTGCGCAAATCGTACAGGTAATATAGGGGAAGGTGTGCGCAGCAGACGGCAGGTAAGATTCCAATGATATTCGGTAGTTATAGCGGACTGATAGCCAGAATGATATATAGGAATACTAATAGATCACGAGTCGAATTTAACGACGTATAGGTGAAGAATTGCAGGAGATTTAGTACTTTGACTTTAGATTCTTTCAACGACACAGCGGCTGTGGCCATATTAAGCTAGACGCAAGCGAAATGCATACGGGACAAGTTGTATAGGCCGACCCAATAATCGAATAATACGGAAAGCAGGTAAAAACGCCCCTTTATTGTAATATTAATTGTGTCTATCCATTATAGAAATGCGGGTTTGGCAATAGCTAGCGATTTGGGTTGAAGAATTTCCCGTTGATTTTGATTTTTAAGCCAACACTACTTTGACACCAGGCTTGTGAGAGTGAATTTTGGCCTTTCCTCAACATCAGTCGCGAAATATCTTGGTGATGTCCAAGAAATCTCAGTAGTCTCCGTCTCTCTCTTCATCGGTCGCCTAGGAGTTAACGTCCGTATGGAACAGTTCAAAACACTTGCAAAAGCCTTGCGCCCGGTGACTATATATCCCTGCGACTCTTGGCGAGAGTAGGCGAAAATCATTTTTCATGGGGCCATAAGCCCAACGTTTACCGGATGTAAGTTGCAATTGCTGGTAAATGGTGTACACACAAATAGGTGGCAAAAATAGAGTAGAGCCTAGACGGGTGATAGTTAAAATTTCGTGAACGCCGTGGTCGAGGAAGGGTCGCAACCCTGTTTCAACGAGACATAACTGTAAGTTCCTTGCTGTCTGTCTGCCAGTTTATTAAGGCATGATTGACATTTCAGGAGACCTGCGTCGTGATGTGAGTATGAGCTTGGTTGCAGGGTATATCCAAGTAGCCGAATAGTAGAATTATATATATATATATATATATATATATACCTCGTCTGCTTGAATGCCATAAGTGATTTCTATCTAATGCGTCTGCTTGATATGTGCATGAGAGGCAGTGTCCGTGGCGGTCAGATAGGCTGCACGATACTGTGAAACTGACCACGTAAGTGGCAGAGATATATGTACACATTAAGTAAAATCTGGTTAATATTTATATATGAAATAACTGTTGTGCCATGTATCATATTTTTACATGTTATCTTCGCGTCAGACTGTTAACGTTTTTAACGAGGTATATCTAAAGATATGCAACTTAACTGGATCACAAAAATAGAATCAGTTAGTTATACTTTTGAAACCCTTTAACTTTCAGTCTCACCGGTTGCATATAGCTAATATTTAGGCATTGAGTGCCGAAAGGTCGTTTACATCGCGTGTCCGGCAAGAAAATTTTGTGGAGGCTGTTTTGCTACAGGGTAGAAGGCATGACATTTTATGCTCTCTGCCAAAGGCAATGTGACTTTATGTTATTGAAGATCAGACCGGCAGCCAGCAACTTCAAAGGGGCGTTTCTTTTTCAGAAAAGTATCTCTTTTACCTTAAAGATGCATACAAAGTCAATTTTTTGTCACAAAAACCAACCAAATACCAGCATATAGTTTCAAATAGTATAAGTAAGAGAATAACCAAAAGGCATTGTTTAATTTTACCCGAAAGTTATGTTTGAACGGTTTTTCTGCTAGCATTCTATGCTGTATGCCAATGGGGCAGAAAAATAGGTCACGAAAGTAGGTTAAATTTCCGACCAAAAATTTAAAGAAAGGAGCAGTCTAAAGCTCTTTTATGGCTGATCAAGTGATCTATTCAGTTTATCCCTTGGCATGTCGAATTTATTTTAGTCGAATAAGAAACTAGTAGAAGTGGTTTACATGTGTTACTGGATATCCACGCTCTACCTATGCTCGGTTCGTATGTACCTTTAAATCTTCGTGTACCTATACCAAATTTTACCCAGAGCGGACTTTTTTCTCGACAAAAAAGGCCGTTCTTTCGAACCCCCCGATCCCCCCTGGCTACGGGCCTGCACAGTTAATGTGAAACGTGGGTCACGTTCGATACCACTTTCAATATGAACAGCATATAACGTTAAAAAAAAAAAAAACACACANATATATATATATATATGTAGGTATATATATATATATCAGAGTAAATCTGCAATTTCAAAGATTTCATTTGCGTGTGCACGCATGTAGTACCAGTACCAGTAGTACTTGGAAAATCTAATAAGAATGAAATAAACAGTGCATGGAAATTCTTGCGTGAGAGATTGAATAACTGCACAGCTTGACATGCATTAATAACTAATGTGATTTACTGTTCAGTGATATTTTGAGTGTGCCCACTCTGACAGAAGAAAAAAATGTGCTGGTATAGAGGCAACAGTGCAGAAGCCTATAGCAGCAATATGGACATATGATACAGCCTCAGGGCGCGGGAAGTGTGGATTATGTGTAGGCATTCTTCACACATTTAATCCAATATTCGCTGTTTTTTCTTTGGGATTCAGAAATCTCACGAAGAGTATTATGCAGTTTCCTTGTCTCCATTATCGAATACTAAGTATATGTGGATTTGGAAATGCCTTAACCGTGGTGTGTAAAATATCAGACAAACAAGGGTCAAAAAGACGACGCAAAAAGTTATTAATTACTGGGGCATGACGGCTTTTTTGAATACAGCAAAAAGTTGGCACATGCAAAACTGCGATTTGATTAGTTGCAAAATAGCTTGCATATTTAGACTATTCACTGCAAGAGTGTGGATACTTGGCTCTCCAATTTAATCACAAATACGGTTCGTCGCGCAGGTGCGCAAATCGTACAGGTAATATAGGGGAAGGTGTGCGCAGCAGACGGCAGGTAAGATTCCAATGATATTCGGTAGTTATAGCGGACTGATAGCCAGAATGATATATAGGAATACTAATAGATCACGAGTCGAATTTAACGACGTATAGGTGAAGAATTGCAGGAGATTTAGTACTTTGACTTTAGATTCTTTCAACGACACAGCGGCTGTGGCCATATTAAGCTAGACGCAAGCGAAATGCATACGGGACAAGTTGTATAGGCCGACCCAATAATCGAATAATACGGAAAGCAGGTAAAAACGCCCCTTTATTGTAATATTAATTGTGTCTATCCATTATAGAAATGCGGGTTTGGCAATAGCTAGCGATTTGGGTTGAAGAATTTCTCGTTGATTTTGATTTTTAAGCCAACACTACTTTGACACCAGGCTTGTGAGAGTGAATTTTGGCCTTTCCTCTCCATCAGTCGCGAAATATCTTGGTAATGTCCAAGAAATCTCAGTAGTCTCCGTCTCTCTCTTCATCGGTCGCCTAGGGGTTAACGTCCGTATGGAACAGTTCAAAACACTTGCAAAAGCCTTGCGACCGGTGACTATATATCCCTGCGACTCTTGGCGAGAGTAGGCGAAAATCATTTTTCATGGGGCCATAAGCCCGACGTTTACCGGATGTAAGTTGCAATTGCTGGTAAATGGTGTACACACAAATAGGTGGCAAAAATAGAGTAGAGCCTAGACGGGTGAGAGTTAAAATTTCGTGAACGCCGTGGTCGAGGAAGGGTCGCAGTCCTGTTTCAACGAGACATAACTGTAAGTTCCTTGCTGTCTGTCTGCCAGTTTATTAAGACATGATTAACATTTCAGGAGACCTGCGTTGTGATGTGGGTATGAACTTGGTTGCAGGGTATATCCAAGTAGCCGAAAAGTAGAATTATATATATACCTCGTCTGCTTGAATGCCATAAGTGATTTCTATCTAATGCGTCTGCTTGATATGTGCATGAGAGGCAGTGTCCGTGGCGGTCAGATAGGCTGCACGATACTGTGAAACTGACCACGTAAGTGGCAGAGATACATGTACACATTAAGTAAAATCTGGTTAATATTTATATATGAAATAACTGTTGTGCCATGTATCATATTTTTACATGTTATCTTCACGTCAGACTGTTAACGTTTTTAACGAGGTATATCTAAAGATATGCAACTTAACTGGATCACAAAAATAGAATCAGTTAGTTATACTTTTGAAACCCTTTAACTTTCAGTCTCACCAGTTGCATATAGCTAATATTTAGGCATTGAGTGCCGAAAGGTCGTTTACATCGCGTGTCCGTCAAGAAAATTTTGTGGAGGCTGTTTTGCTACAGGGTAGAAGGCATGACATGTTATGCTCTCTGCCAAAGGCAATGTGACTTTATGTCATTGAAGATCAGACCGGCAGCCAGCAACTTCAAAGGGGCGTTTCTTTTTCAGAAAAGCATCTCTTTTACCTTAAAGATGCATACAAAGTCAATTTTTTGTCACAAAAACCAACCAAATACCAGCATATAGTTTCAAATAGTATAACTAAGAGAATAACCAAAAGGCATTGTTTAATTTTACCCGAAAGTTATGTTTGAACGGATTTTTCTGCTAGCATTCTATGCTGTATGCCAATGGGGCAGAAAAATAGGTCACGAAAGTAGGTTAAATTTCCGACCAATTTAAAGAAAGGAGCAGTTTAAAGCTCTTTTATGGCTGATCAAGTGATCTATTCAGTTTATCCCTTGGCATGTCGAATTTATTTTAGTCGAATAAGAAACTAGTAGAAGTGGTTTACATGTGTTACTGGATATCCACGCTCTACCTATGCTCGGTTCGTATGTACCTTTAAATCTTCGTGTACCTATACCAAATTTTACCCAGAGCGGACTTTTTTTCGACAAAAAAGGCCGTTCTTTCGAACCCCCCGATCCCCCCTGGCTACGGGCCTGCAGAGTTAATGTGAAACGTGGGTCACGTTCGATACCACTTTCAATATGAACAGCATATAACGTAAAAAAAAAAAAANACATGTGTTACTGGATATCCACGCTCTACCTATGCTCGGTTCGTATGTACCTTTAAATCTTCGTGTACCTATACCAAATTTTACCCAGAGCGGACTTTTTCTCGACAAAAAAGGCCGTTCTTTCGAACCCCCCGATCCCCCCTGGCTACGGGCCTGCACAGTTAATGTGAAACGTGGGTCACGTTCGATACCACTTTCAATATGAACAGCATATAACGTTAAAAAAAAAAAAAAACACACACACGCATTTGTCTCTATAAATATTCTAAAAGACGTCACAAACAAACGCGCTCACGAGTCAAGGCCTCGCTCGGAAAAAAGAACATGCGTACGCACACTCCCTCACTTATTCTCAAAATATATACAGACACACATGCGATTAACAAAGTTAGTTAATTTCACAGCAGGTACGTCTGCTTTACCTGTAAAATGTTTCATGGTATTTTCTTTCCAGATATTAACCCTACTCCCCGTGAAAGAAAGTCCATGTACCACCGGGTTTTAAGATCAGCACATGGGGCGCCTTTACATCACTAGCAGGAGATCCAAAAAACGAACACGTGGTTCTACTCTGTCTTCAAATCTGAAACCATTCAGATTGCTGTAGCAATTACCAACCGAGAGCGCACGTTAATAAGGGAATACAGGAATCTCCCTGTAGAGCCACCACTCTGTGCTCCAGAGAGCATCAAGACGTATGTGATAAGATGATGTATCTTTATGTACTATGAAACGACATCGCAGGGAGACTTCTTCGACAGCACGCTGCTTATAAGCGTAGTTCTCCTAAAGGATCTACATAATATACTGGCAACAGGAACGGATGATTTTTTTGTCATTTGCATCGCAGCGATAAGGCTTTGATATTTGTTTGATTGCAAATTGTCAGAAGTAATTGGCTTCCCGATCCCAAAAACTGTCAATCGAATTACGAGAAAGACACTGAAACTAATTAGTTTATGAACCATTTATTCAGGGAGAGATATGGCAGCGGAGGCAACGACATCTATGGTTAATTATGCCATAGTTTTAAACACTACGGTGCTCGCCCCAATGTTTAGTACGGAGAACGATACCGCTATGGAAAGGAACAAAACAGGATTCGACGAGACAGCCTTAAACAAATGGTTCTATCCAACCATGGCAGTAGTTACTTTCATTGGGATGGTATTCAACTTCGTTTCTATTCTTGCCTTGTGGCTTATTCCTCACAAACCATGGAGGCCGTTTCATTATTTTTTGATGTACTTGGCAATCTCTGACTGGCTTTTGCTATTTATCTGTTTTGTAGGCGCAACCACAGCGACCGTCATGTTCCAGTCTGCGGTCGATTTTCAACTGAGCGACGAGCAACTGTGTGCGGGAAACACTCTCTCAGACTTGTCCTGCTACCTCATTATTCCGCCTTTTTTGGCCACGACCGGACTTGTAATAAATCAGTATCTGTCGGTCAGTCACGCGCTGCGGTACTCCTCAATGGTCACTAACCGTCGGGCTTTGATCTCCATTATACTGTCTTGCGTTCTGGTGGTGTGCACGTATTTTATAATGCACGGGATCGCCCTAGCGCAGAGTGTTACAACATGCGACGACCATTACAAGAGGTATATTTTGTACAGAGAATACTATCTTGCCATAACCACCATAGTGCTATCCGTGGTCAACGTTGCCATCTATATCATGATCTACGCTCAGGCTAGAAAAGTTAGCAAATATGGCGATCATTGCCTCCCCGCCGGGGAACGCTCACACCATGACCGGCTTACAACAACGATTGCAATCCTTCTTGCAACGATAATTCTCTTCTGGACTCCTGGAACATTGGCCAGCATATTTGCCATAGTCAATCATGAAAATTCGGATTTAGTATTCACTTTACTGCAGATTATCACCAACATTATGTTCTTCCTAAACTCAATCTCAGACCCGCTGATTTATGGTATACGACTGAAAGAAGTACGGCACGGGTACGGGATACTCTTTACAAAACTGAAAAAGTTGTGCAACTGCCACAAGGAAACACAGGACGACAACGGTTATGTTCTAACACGCATGCGGTCTGTAGACCACGGTAGGAATGGATCTACGTGCAAGCGGCTTACCACCAGTGACATCGTCACAGATGACAGTGACGAGCACAAGAAGAATGGAGAGCATAAAACTGCTATGGTCTTGAATGAGACTATTACTGAGCCTACCGAAGAAACTAAACTAACCATGTGATGACGTCACGTTGTGATGCTCCACCATGTGATGACGCAATCAAATGACATCATCTTGAAATGATAATGTCAAAATGTAATGCAGAAAACCATGACGCCAGAGCTTGCCTCGTGTTATGTTTGCTGAAACGTGTCTATAGTTTTGTGGTAAATATTAGAATGTTGTTACAGGTAGCTGTTACATTTATTTTGAACAAAGTCAACACGAACTTTGTGGACTAAATGCTCAACTTTGAATAGCTTGCGTACAGTGCATAGGTGTTAACATAGTGCATAGGTATGAGAAATTTTATGAAGATTTCACGACGATTGGGAGGCTCATATTGAACCTCCTATAAGCTTACATATTCAACAAGCTCAAAGTGTAAATTTAGTCGATAGGATAACGAAATAGTACATGTGAAATCTGGTATAAAGTAGTAGTGGTCTTTGTGATATTGTTTATATATATTTAGAGTATTACAGCGGGAACGGTGATGCTTTTATCTGGAAAATAAGTCATTAATGATAAATTTAATATATATAAATGCAATCTGTGGCGAATCAGGTAAAACTCATCTTACAAAACGCCTTTCGGTAGTATGTGTATCTCAGAAAAGGAAAACCCTGTACTTCATCAAATTTTCATTGTTACAAAGTAGGGGTTGCGGATAATAACTTCATAACTTAAAAGCTGTACAAAGTGACGGATTCGCCGCCATGATACTCTACAAGCAAAATAACTGCAAGGTATATTCATAGCATTACCACACTGCAGATTTCTACGTCAAACGTGTGGGTTAGTGTACTTAAGCCACCACGGTCATCGTAAGTGCCAAGGAATATTAGCGTTCTTGGTGACACCTGCGCGCGTCACGAAAACTTATCTTAAGATGCTTTGCGACTGGATCTAAGTTAAACCCATTTTGATTCTAAAGCCCATGAGTGACATATCACAGCGAAGGGCGGCTTGAGAGAAAAAACCACAAATGTTTAATTTTTATTAAAAATATAAAGTACTTGCTCGGAAAAATACTGAGGTAGAATTTTGGCTGGTAGGAGTAAGCACAAAAAATAATAATAAGTTTCTCCTACGCTCATTCTAAGATGAAGATTTCTTACATGCACTTCGTTCAAAGTTAATTCATTTATCTTTTTGTGTGTGTGAAAATTCTGTACAAATTACGTGAATGAACTCTGGTTCAGCATTTTATCCATTTTAAAAGATATTACTGATTTTTACCTAAATTCTAGGCTTAAGATTGGACATCGTCAGACTTATATCAGATTCGAAACAGTTTTAACTTCTAATCCAACTAAGAAACCACTGCTCAATGTGTTGTATTCATCACTACTATATAACATATTACTGTTTTATGTATTTTAGGTTGATTGTTTTTTATGACCAGGTTCACGGAGTTGAGAAAATAGTTTTACCATGTACAATTCAAAAATTGGTTTGTTGGAGTAAATAAGAAATTATGAATATACATTGTTTTTTTTTCATGCTATGTTTATTGAATTATCGACATTAAAGCGTATTCGTGTTTTTGGAATAGGTGGATGGTTTTTATAACACGCTTTACACTGCAAGTCTTCTTTTTTCACCTGTTGTGTGCATGACTCCATAAACTATGTACTGAGATGAAATATGGGGGAATTGTTTGAAACCCTACTTGTGTGGTATTTCTCTCTAGAATAGAGGTCATTGAATAGGTTATATTTCCTCAATATTAAAATCACCTGTAATTAAAGTTACCATGACTACACCGTTAAGCTGCTAGTAATTTGATGTCTGAAACCTGTTTATCGGAGACGATAAAAAAACGCTCTAACATTCGAAACGCCAGTTCAACAAAATACAGTCCCCTATTCTTTCTTTAAACGCCGGAGAAAGTTGAAGCGATTAACCTCAGAATTTCTGGAAAGAAAAAAAAATGAAAAGAAATGTAATTCCGTATCTATACACGCTTAAGTAAGCAGTGTATTCCCCAGAAGACGTGTTTTTCGTTGAAGTAACCTCAGATGGTTTGGTCCCGGGACGCCTTAAATGCTGTGTCCTCAGCGGGCAGAGATATCCACCAGTGAATGGGAAGAAATATGAACACATTTAACACATGATTTTACGTTAGGTCCTTAATTAACCGACGAGAAGCCTGGATATAGTCACGCTATTGATTGATTACTTCGAAGTAGCGTTTTATCTTGATCACAATCGTGAACTTTACCTGCTACTGCCTTAAGAGAGCGTCCCTGTTCGATAATTTGCATGTTGTCAGGTTTATTCCAGAAAAGAGGCTGTAAACAACTAACTAAATAAATAGTTACTAATGATACTAATACTAATGATATGTGCAACTAATATGTTTCTTTGTGGATTTGACGTTAAACGCCCCATCTCTACGACTTAAAGGGTCAGATAACCATATGCAATTTGTTTTACCTATATGTAACGTTTAAAATCATATCAAAACCAACACAAAAATCAATATTATACTTAATTTTTTGTTTAATTCAATACATTGTTCACAGGTTTTAATTTTTACTCATTTGGTGTTTTAATGTTGGTAAACTAATAGAAAAAATCCCAAGGCCTTATTATGATGGCTCCTGGATTGATGAGGTCAAGATTAATAAGAACACTGCCCTCATTAGTTACCTAAATAATGAGTACAAAAGTCACCATGTGAGCAAATATGCCAAAGTTCATCACTGTTATACAGCCTGGGAACAAACCTGACAATATTACAATATGGGGATTTTCCTAGATCACGCACGTGTCTGTTTGAGGTTATTTGAACCCGAATTTGAATTTATGCTGTTGAATATGACTGCCAAGCACGCGGAGTTAAGATTATGCAGGGTCATATGTCTAAAAAAAAAGGGTGTTCGTAGTGAATGAAATAGCCTTATACATGTAACACCACTCTCAGCGTGGTTCATAGCACGAGAGATTGTGTCTATTCTCCCTGCTTGTCAAACATACATAGTAAATAATGCGTTTTTGTTCGATAGGTATAAGAAAGCTCTTGTAGTAATATGTTTGATTTAGTTTCACCTACGCCTTCAAAATATACATGGTATACATCACATTCTGCACATATTTAGACACAAACAATAAAGTAAGAAGTGAAATAGTGAGAAAGGATTACTGCAAACTGAAACTCGAATAGAACATATTCCGAATTTTGATGGCGTATATTGGAGACACCAGTGAAGGCATTGTGTCTGTTTAATTAAAAGAAGATATTTTCGTCTTCAGTTAATGTGATCTTTTATCTGACACCCTCCGTCTAAGCCATTCGCCGCCACGTCAAAGACATCAGTGATCTTACTGATACACAATTGTCCCAACAGCGTTCATGTTAACAGTTCCTTGTAAGTAATCCTAGGAAAGGGCAGCCAAATGGTCGAGTGCAATGTCTATTTCCTGTCACTATTTCCAAGAGAGTGGGGATTGCTTCCATTTTCTTTCAATTGACAAAACAAAAAAAACCCTTTGATTTTAAAGGTTCTTAATCCTGGATGTACAAGTCTTTATATCATTGTTCATCCAGTTTATTGCCTTGAAATATAACGATTTTCAAGGAATTTAGTTTCCCAGTGTGAAGTTTCTTAGCTATACTGCATGAGTGGATTTATCGGCAAAAATGTAGTCCGTATCGATCAGCGTGGCTCGGGGAATGATAACTTATGAATTTTGATTGGTTTTGCGAGAAGAACAATATGTTACAAGACAAGCGATACCAACAGGGAGGAAGAAAGATATGTACTCGGTAATGGTCAGATATAACATATACGTGGATATTAAATAAAACAACTGCAGTCTAATTTTGCTGGTGTTTTCCCCAGTTGTAGCCAATTCGATTAGAGATTTTGCGAATATTAAACTCCGAGGCCCTTTGGGATATTATGAACTCACAAATGAGCTCTAGCTGCTTTGGTGAATCGTACACCGCGTTTTGTTTTTATTTGATGTTTTTGTGAACTGTGCAGTAAGGCCATGCTGTCCATTGTGTCAAAGGGCGAATTTTGATAGATGCCGGGCCAAAGCCAGTTGTATTTACTTTGGCTTTACTGTTTTTACCTTTTCTTTTCATCTTAACTCCTAAGGCTCTCACCCAAGAAAGAGAAAAACCCATATCTTCTTTATTTTGTAACCTTGTATAAAGTTACGATCAGTAAAATGAAAAGTATAGCAGTTACACACACGCGCGCGCGCACGTGAACTTTTTATTAAAATAAAAGGCAAAGGCTCCACCTTCATCGTTATCATCAGAGACCAAGTTCACAATTCCTCTACAGATGTCTCTATCGTCAACATTGCTATCTTACCAGGACCTACAGAAAAATCTGAACATTAAATCTAGCCCATGACTTGACGTCGTATATAATATATTGACTATTTAAATTGGACTGTAAACACTGACAATTGAATGTATATTACATGGATCACACACACAAGCCTTCACACACACGCACAAACACTAAAGCAATGCAAACATACTCTAAACAACTCCATATCCACCGTTATCAGTGGTAACACTGGCAGAATAAGCTGAACAATTGCATTCTGATTGCATGTATTCTGCGAAATCCACTTCAATTAACCGAGGTTGACCTGTTTGATTCCATTAATTCATTCCAATACTTGAAGGTGTTTCCCGTCAGTTTCTATTACATTGTTGATCCTTACCAGACTCGAACATCACGGCTTGAGCAGTTTTAATACGGAGGGGTCTTGCCGTACATATTAAGACCACACCAACCGGTATAATTGCCGGATTCGATTTCCACTGTTTTATACGCTCACACCATTTAAATTGGTTATCATAAATGTTTTCACGGTGCACATGTACCAATGGACATGATGTGCCAATATAGATACTTAATACATACGTCTACATCTAATAACATGTTTGCTGATCGAAACTGGCATTGCGTCCATAATACAATTAGAAGAATTGCTGTTGAAGTAGAATAATAAGCAAGATTGCCAATTTTATTAGTATTCTAGCACTAAGTCTGCAATTTCAATGCAATACTGAAAACTTACGGTGTACCGACGACTGCTCTTTTCAATAAAATATTGAAAACAGTATTTCTACAAAGCAATAAAGGCACGTTATGCATTCTTTTCTTAGAAGACTGCTGCTCATTCAGCGAAACGGAAAGGAAAACAATACGGCAAAAATGTCAGAAAAACATCATTAAAACATGCATAGCGGTGGTCGATTATAACGTTCAGGGCGGAATCACACTTCGGAACCGTTGAATTGACTGAGAAAAAGCGCACTTACGCAAACCTAATGGAGATGCTTCGTATCAGGCCAACAATAATGATTTCATGATGATCAAAAAAGTCTCAAACTGAGAAACAACTGATAGCCCAAAGGATTGCCAGTTGCTTCTTTTTGCATTTGTAATTTTCCAGATAACTCACGGCACCGCAAATACATTGCGTGTTTACGTATCCAGCCAAAAGTCATCTTAGTAAAATATCAAAGGCTGCTCATCCTTTCCGACAAAATTTTTCATATAAACATATAGCGTGAGGATACATTTTCAAAATTATTGAATTCCGTGTCCAAACAAAATTCTTCGGTTTCAGGGTTATACACACACAGGGGGTTACTCCATTTACTACAACCAACTTTATCCCTGTAGAAAAGAAAAGAATAACGGCTTTGGAATTCCTGTGTCGGTTAAAACATGACATTTAATACCAAAGCTAGATTATGTGTATAATTAAAGAAAAAATACGGGAACAAACTACAGGTCTACACAGATAAGCAATAAAGAACATTGCCGTTTTAGACAACCCTGCTCAATTTTATTTCGGTTCTTTTAAAAGATATGAGTGTTCCATATCTGCCCTTTACATGTTCAGTCTTGCCTGAGCAATGTCGAACGCGTTCAGTCTGGATATCTCCCACCCTCACTGTTACCAGAACGTGTAGGTATTCCCACATCTTCTGATTCCAATTTCAAAAAAGCCTCCAAACAGGTGCTGTAAGGATCATCATTGTTCTCGTCTCCTTCCATCACCTTGAACTCATATTGCCATTGCAAACATGGGGCCATTAAAAACGTGTAAAACACCTGGCAAGATGACTTTAATTCAAGGAACTCCATGAACCGTTACTTGCGACATAAATGGTTTGCTACCGAATTCAACTCTTCAATAATTTTATTGCAACTGATATGAGGTACACGGTATCATTTTGCTTCGACTAAAAAAGGACATTTAACAGTTTTTCTTATTGCCTCTAAACCTTTACTATGTTTCAATGCAGAAAATTATTTCATATAAAACGCGCTCATAAATCCGGGTTCTCCCATATTATTGTATTACTTCTGACAGCTTTCTTGTTACATGTACAACACACAAGCACACGCGCACACATGCACGCACGCAAGCGAAGCAACACTCCCAACCCGACAGTTTACTTAAACATCTCTATCAACAAAAGTGTCTGGTAGTAGTTTTAACCCTAGTTTTAACGAGCCGAGTTCCCATTGTTATTGGTTCTCTATATGCCTTTCCTGTCGGTACCGTACATCTCTTGGCCTTACTGACTTTGTGTTTCGTGTCAAAGGTCACAAATGCAGACGTTAAAGCTGCAAGTACTGTCGGATAAGGAAAAAAGGATTTAAAGATAAATAAATATTCAAAGATAAAAACGTTAGTATTTTTGAGATACAGATAAGGAAATAAAGATTAGATTTGTTCGTGAATATCCCAGACAACTAAGAGCAAATTTGAACGCTTTGAACTGCTTTGAACGCATCAACCAATCGATCGGAGTAACTTGCATTCGTATATCTTAAGAACTGTTCTATAGATCAAGATGATAGTAAAAAAATTATCAGAACATTGTTTACTGCTTGAAATATTAACTGTCCGTGGAACATGACACCTCAGAGAACAAGTTGTAGCAGGGTTCCCTTCAAAGGTGAGATATGCCTTTCCTTTTATCGGAGAAAAACTAAACTGAATAACAAGAAGACATTCTATGAGGATTAGACATTACCTTAACTATCAAACGGCGATCTTTTGACACTTTATTTGTTCGTTCGTTTTCTGGAGCTACGCCTGTCTATTTAAAAAGTAACATAAGTAACTTCCATAAAAATACCGATGCGTGTATCTTATCTAATGAGCGTCGTAACATTATGATGCTATTTATAGCCACCACGAGTTTCTTTGCATGCAACCGTGAAGAAAGCTGTGCCAGGTGTTCATAAAATTGTGTTAGTTGTGCCTGTGTATATGCAATCTGCATATCTACAGCATTTTGTTCAACGGGTATTCATCAGCTTTGACAAAGGCAGGGTTTGAAAAGCACTAGTGCCAGTAAAGCGTGAAAACAAGGGCCACATTCACAATAGTGTTGATCCGCAGACAAACAGATGCGCGGATCAAATATGGCCGACCCACTTGAAAGCTTACCGCGTATTTCCTGCGGGTAATCTATTCACTGTCTATTAGGGGATAATGCAGCAAGTTTTCAAGTGGGTCGGCCATGTTAGATTCGCGGATCTGTAAGTCCGCGAATCGACTTGCTCTGAATGCGCCCATAGTTTAACCTCCTACCCTAACCCATACTGCTGCCAATTTTGTAATTAAAAACATGGCGCATTTTGATTGGGATTTTACCGATGTCTGTCAATCTTTATGCACAACAAGGTAAAATCAAGAAATCAAGGCCGTGTGTAATTGGGAGGGGGGGGGGGGGACGGTGGGTCAGATAGCTCTGAAACGAGACAAAACAATTGTCCAATCCTGTGCTCTACATATGATAGTTAAAAATCTCCTTTACTTTTTACATTTGCCACTCGCTCGGCAAATATTTTTGTCATTAGTTCAGTTTCAAAAATTTAAATCTTAACACTGCCAGATTTACGTGAGCAAATTTGCTTAGACATGCTCTGGCATACCAATTTGGAGGTCTAGAGACTGAACTGCGTGTACATAATGGGACCATTCAGAATGGGAAAAGCCGAGTGCTAGCTAGGCCCTCGACCGGTTGAATTGAGTCGAGATTTAATTACTGTGCCCCTGCAGGGATGACACGTGGGGAGGCGTGTGAGAGGTGGAAAGACCATTATAGGATTAAGCGGTTTTCTTTTCATGTAGGTCCGCCATATTTAGGTCGTGTCCAAGCTAGCACTCGGCTCTTCTCATTCTGAATGGTCCAATGACGACTTTACGCGTTTCGTTTTTCTCCCGTGTCTCGAGTAAACTAAGCACGAACCAGAATTTAACTTATAGTCACCGTGAAGTGGTTAGAAACATCATAACAATAACAGGCATCTTCATTTGCAATATTAAGAAAAAAAATTAAGTGTGTGAATCAAGACATTAAAATAGATCCAAGTGCAGTGACGGGTAATGTAGATCAAGCTTGATGTGGACTAGGCTTCAATTTTGTTGAATATCACATCAGTTTGGCAGTCATCTTATACAAATATTATTAAAATAATTGCATAAAATAGCACACGAGAAGAATTTTTCTCGCGGTGTCATCAACAGAGAAGATATTTTTATATTCAACAGGAAACTGGTTCGGAGTATCAACAACATTTACATGTAAATGTAATGGTGTTTATTTCATGTTCACAGTCAACGAACGTCAAATAATTACATTTATCCTTCCATAATGGTACCTGTACCAAAATAACTCACGCATTGCTTAAAGCTCAAGTGACAACGTCTTAAAAAAAACAGAAACAAAACAAAAGAAGTTAAAACGTTTTCTTTTCCTTCTCAGCTCAAGTCCCAGCAGGACCGAATTTCATACAAAACTTTACACAGTTCCCTGACTCAGATGATGTCCATGAGATATAGAGAGCTGTAAAATTGTTCCTGATAGGGTAAAATGTCTGCATGTGACCATGTAACCTTGGTAACAAAAATGTTAGCCAGGAAACCGGACTAAAGTTTCTTTGTGAAACAGGGGCCAAAAAAAAAATAACGGATCTTCAGTTTTTGTACACCAGTCCTTGAGGTAATTGTCGTTAACACTGAGGTAATTGTCGTGAACACTTGACTGTTTCTGATATACACTGCATGTCACGCGTTAATAGGGGCGAGTTCCAGGTGATCTCCTTCTTCGTGACTTCTGTAACAACCCTCACCGCTTTGGTCTTTCGTCTCCTGTTTGGTCTGGAGGTCAACACTTTCGTCATCAGCGTCATCAAGGCTAAAAATATCAGTAAAACTTCCTTTTATACGAAAGTGCACTGATGCCTTGCGGAATTTTTTAAAATCAAGTTATGAAAATTGATAATGGGATATGTGAATTTAAGGTTGCAAAGTACTTGCATACATGTATATCATCATGGTTACAATAAAAACCAACGTTAACAATGTGAGGGGTGTTTACTAAAAAATCAAATCAAAGTTCAATTTTTGGACAGAGTCATTTTTTATTATAAAAAACATATAAAACTCATAAAGCCTACAGTTACCTGCCATGATTCAGTCTGGCATCCCACGCCTCTAAAGTTTGTGGAAGTGACAGCCCAAGGGTTTCAGGTAGTAGAAAGGGCAGCAATGCAGTCGCTATCGTTAAAGTGCCCCATACAATGAATGGCAATGGTTTGTATATATGCCGCAGGGCTAAGATTTGTGGAGCTATAACGGCACCCAGTCTACTGACAGAAGCACAGAAACTAATGCCCACATGTCTATGCAAAATAAATAAATAAATAAATAAATAAATAAAAATAAAATAAATAAATGAAAATTAATTAAATTACAAATAAATGATAAATTTGGTTTGATTTTGGATATTTCATCGTCCAAGTTTTGATTATATATAAGGCTAAGTGGACCACTAAGCAGGATCTTTTTAAGTTCCTTTATTTTTTTTAAATCACACACGAAACGTGGTTCCTTCCGTGACTGAAAGTTAAGAATAAAACAATACTCATAAACACGATCGTATATGGGACAGAACGTTTCCAGTGGTCTCTACAAATACCTTATTACAGTGGGATATATCTCCGCTGCCACCAGTTGTACCACGTCTCCAGCAAAACTAATGAACATCTTCCCTATCACCGCCAACGTTATTATCAACCACTGTAGGTCTGAAAAGGTTCGCATTTTCACATTATTTTAGTAGAAATGACACAACTCAGCGAATAAAATTTACGATAAATGATAGTGAAGTTCATTAAAAAATCTGTTTTAATGCACGTAACGAGAATGTTTGTGGGATTCGGTCGTCTCATTACATTTGCTAGAATAGCAATAAAGAAACAAATCATGTCTTCCATAAGCACACGTAATAATTGCTACTAAAAAAACTTCTAAAGAATCTGTGTCGACTCTAAAACATAAAAGACGACGGGTACCTTTGGTGAGCAAGCCTGACACTATACAGGCAACTCCCCCGGGTAGCAGTGTCACTAGCAGAATTTTCCTTCTCCCAACTTTATCCAAAATGAACATGCCCACTATATGTCCTGGAATGTCTGCAGCTCCCAGTAAGGCAAAGTTCAGGTATATGCTGCCACCAAGCCCCTGGGCGTGAAGAGCAAGACCATAGTAGCATAAGTCGTTTATTAACCTGGCAAAAACACCAATAATATAGGGAATACTTGATTAATACCATAGGGCTACAAGCCATTGTTCACAAAAGAATCGACACAATACAACATACAAGGTCGAACATGTCACAGACAAAGACAAAGGAACTACGCATGTCTTCCTGTGATGGCTAATATGCAGTGTGACAGCTTTAATTTCAAGCACTGCATAACAATTTCGGTCCATGGGGCATTTTAACATTATTGTGAATAAACTTTGTACAAAACTGAAAAAAAAAAAAACTAAATTAAAAAGCAATGATACCAGCATATAATGATAATAATGGTTAGTTTCGCTCGATTCCAAGTTCTCAACAAGTCAATAGGGGTGTGCGTAGATGTCTTTTTTTCCTCGTCTCCCTCTGTGAAAAGACGCTCCAATGTGGCCTCCTCAAGCTTAACCTTGTTAACTACGGCTACTTTGTTAACGATCTTCTTTGCCTCCTCATGCCTGCCACGTGCTAGTAACCAGCGCACGGACTCTGATAGGAAGCTAACAAGAAAGGGACACGTTTTTTAAATATAAAGTTTATACCAACAGCAAAATTAAGTATCCATAATTTCAATAGGCACACCGAAAAACAAATTAAATACAGAACATATAGCATTTGTTACATAGAAATAAATCTGATATAATAAACGTTTTTAACTCAGATAAATTAAGTTATTATAAATCAACTCACGAAAAAAAAACCGGCAATCATTATTTAGTAACCGGTTAAAGAGAACACTTGTCTAGTGGACATATCTGAATTCATATGTCGTTTAACCAGCAAGTGCATGAACACGGAGCTGCTTTGACTTCAATATTATAATGAATACAATCTATAAATTATATATTGATATAATTATATAGTAATTCTTTTATAAAAGAGTGTTCATTTCATTAAATCGGCTCCCAGCCTAAAAATCACACAAACGTAAATAAAAGATTACTTACAACCAAAAGAATATGCAAATAACACCTGGTGAACTTGCCACCAAAGCTAGATGTCTCCAGTTTGGGAGCAGGTACGCTTCGATTGCTAAAAGCGAGTGGCCTAATCCAAAGCAAACAGTCATAAACAAGCCGGTGATCTTCCTCTTACTCGGACCCACAAATTCCATCCCTACGATAAATGTTTTGCAGTAAGGACAACGAAGTTAAAATAAAGTAAGAACTTAAACTATCTATGCCAATTTTAATTAGCTTAAAAGCCTACAACTAGCAACGACGTAGGATTTGGTGTGCTGTCGCACGTACGAAATTACCCAATGTTGGTCGAATGGTCTCCATGTAGCGGAGGTACTGAATTCAGTTAACAACGTGATTATAATTTTGTGTTTTTAATATTTCTAGGAAAAAACAAGGTAAATAAATTTGAGCACTCGCAATTTAGAGAGTTTAACTCGTACGCATGAAGAGAACGGGCAATATAGCACCTGGTCGGTGTCATGTAACGCTATCATCTATATAAATATATTACACTCTATGCAAATTACAGATATATTTGTAGTAACCAAATGATTTTAGTTGGTCTTAAGATGCAGTTATTAGTTGGTCTTAAGATAAAAAGGATCGATGTAAGTGTACATATGCATTTTATCGTTTTATACTAATAATTAGTTGGTCAATTGTTGTTCATTAACCGTTTTGAATACATGAATTCAATGCTGAATGTATAAGACCACGCCATTTTAACACTTACCCATGGTATACAGCGTCATATACATGCTGGCGTCACTTGCACCCTGGATAACGTAAAGTACGGAAAACACCGCCATATTTGGGGCAAACGCCAGCGAAATCCCAGAGGCTGCTAGAAGTATTACGCTCACCAGAAAAACTGGACGGCGTCCGAACCTGAAAAAAAAAAAAACATTTGTAGAAAGGTTATGTCATTTAAAGCGATATTGACTTCCATCTGCAACTTAAACAGGACTGTCGATAACGTCTGTTTGCGTTTGTAGAGCAGTTGAAGGCGTGTTTTCTGTGAAAAGTATGTGCTTTATTAAAATAACTATTTTAATAGTTTAATATTAAAATACCATCAAATTTGCTGATATTCTTGAATTAATTGATTTCAAATTAGAAAAAAAATAAATAAAAGCGGTCAACTATTCACGTAGCTACCTTACCGATCCGACATCACGCCCGCTACCAGCAAGGCCACCAGTTTACCGCCGAAAAATACAGAATTGCACGTGCTGAGTTGCCAAGCATTCTCACACGTAAGGTCAAACTGGAATTGGAATGCAATCAATTATTTTTTCAACACAAAACAAAACAAAAAAAAATCTACCTGTTATTGAAAATTATTCCGGTACAAAAATATCATAGTCTCAACAACTGCTTTCAAGTAGATGTTTAAATAATATTTTGATGACTGATGTGGGATTTAATGTCAATGAGGGTTCATCTACAAAACAAGTTCAACAATCATAACAAAACTAGCACAGCGACTGTAAATACGAAAAGTAGTTTACCTCAGAAACAACGGTGGATTTATAGATATCCTTGCTGTACTCTCTTTGGCCAGGACAAGGATGGGCGTCGGTTCTCTCTCCAAGAGTAAGATTCCAGATAATATCTGGGTCATTATCAAGCGTATAATTCATCGTTGATGCAATTTCATCTACAGTATCCCCACCTAGGGAACTATTCTTCAGCAATGCGATGACTGTTGAATTCATGGACCCTAGGTTAAAGCGATACAGTGCGCAACCACTTCGTTTTCCTTCCTTCGTGTACGGTACAAACAGCTCTAAGAGCTCGTCACGTGTGACGTTTCCATACAGCTTGGTCACGTGTTCCACCTGTGACGTAGGTAGTTTACAATGGTGTTCAGGTTCGGCGCCGTAAAACACTATGCCTAATGTAGATAATACGGAGTAACACGCCATTATGCATATCAAGGCATATCTTCGCTTTTGGTACGAACCAAACTCGCCTAGAATTTTAAGAAATTCGTCGAAGTTCATTGTTTGTAAAGGTTTAGGTCTGCTAGCCTGCTAGACAAATTGTTTTTTCTCACTTTTTCATTTTGGTCCTTATCTGTCGCCAGGGAAACGCGTCTTCCTTTGGACGCCAGTAACGGTTGTAATGGTTTCTGGCACGGAGAAAAAAACACAAAGCTACTGTTTTAAAAATATTAAAATACAGATGCTAGGAAATCAAATTTGGTCTGCACGACTTAGGTTATTTTTCTACCACAGTAGGTCAATGAACAGAAAAAATGCACAAGACCATATACACACAAGTCAATTGAGTCCTGAATACAAATATATCTGAATCAAACGAGCTAATTTAAAATGAAACATATTCTAGTTGCAAAGACAATTAAAGTTTTTAAAAATTATCAAAAATATCTACCTTATACCAGACAAGGCCCCCTTGCAGCCAAATAGCTGTGTACGCACTGAGCTCTCACAGATGAATTTTATCGCTTGTCGACATAATATAAAAGGTCAATGGGTACTTAATTACTCAATGGATGTTATGCGCTATATTACACTGGGCCACAGCAAAACCTGAGTGCAAAAGACTAAAATATATCTACTGCCTATCAAATCTCCAAACTTTAGTCTTGCAGTCCGAAGGGGCTAGGTAGTGATGACACACTGTGCACGAGATATTAACAGGTGGTTTCGAGCAAGTTAACACTACAATATTCCCTGTGGCCCCACCTGTTGCCATGTTAGGTCTGCTGTGTGAATACCATGATTGTGAGAGAGACGCCGTCTCGAACTGGATGTGTTGAAAAATGTGGAAAATAAGCTGGATCTCGAGCTTACAATGGAGCCCAAGTGATTTGACCCGATGTTCCTCGTGCCCCCACTTAATGCACTGACCATCCCACTCACTGTATTAACAAATAAGATTGTGGAAATATTTGGGCTGCTACAGCTATACTGATAGGTCAAACCGCTTATGCAATCCTCTCTACCTGTATGACTACGTTCCTCCTTATGTGAAGTGAAAAACAGCTTTCTGGCGACCTACGTACAGTGCTACCAGTAAGCTATATGCCCCGTTCACTTCGAGCGGTTTACGTAGCTGATGTTGCCTATACCGGTTCACTACGGCAGCCCCTTACTTGTAACAACACTACAGGGGGGAAGGTACACTCTTTCACAATTTTAACAAGGGTTAGTATTTACAAATACCTGTTAACAACAAGAGATCGAGGAATGAGAAGATCAGTGGCCCAGCTCGTCAGCCTGGTGGAGGGTAGGGTTTCGTAGTATTGCCGAAAATAAACCCACCTGGAAGGCAGAGATTTAACCGTCGGCCTCTGGGCACCTTGCCACCTCGGTCTCCTCTGCAAATCATGCCGTTAATAAATTACTTTAATGTCGGCTGTTTATGTCGGTTCGATTGATGCTTGTTTACATTTCGCCTATTTAATGGGTAGGCCCATATCGAACAATGTAAGATCGATCTGAGATTGCTGCGTCCACAATTAAATTGACGATCAGGTAAGATGAAACGCATAGGTCGACGTTACTACTCAGTACTGTGGTAACAACTATGCTGTTTGAATTACTTTCTATTGTTAACATCTACGCTGAACTCTATTTCAAATATTTCTGCCAACGAACAAAGGTATATCCTAGTACCAAACTTGTATTAAGATGCCAAGCAAACACAAAACGTCCTTACGTCGTGGCGAAATGTGGTACATATGTGACGTGGGAAATCAACGTTACAGGTTACAGATTTACGTGGGAAACGTGTTCCAATTGACGCTACTGTCACGTTACACGTGGGGTTGAAACATTCAAAACGTTCAAACCTCTTACAAGTTTACGTGGGATCCACGTTCAAAGTAACGTTGTTTCCACGTTATAGGTAACGTGGGGGTGAAACGTGTATTCCACGTTCAAGCCAATTACAAATTTATGTGGGATCCACGTTCAAAGTAACGTTGCTGTCACGTTATAAGTAACGTGGGGGTGAAACGTGTATTGCATGTTCAAACCTCTTACAAGTTTACGTGGGATCCACGTTCAAAGTAACGTTGTTGCCACGTTATAGGTAACGTGGGGGTGAAACGTGTATTCCACGTTCAAACCAATTACCACTTTATGTGGGATCCACGTTCAAAGTAACGTTGCTGCCACGTTATAAGTAACGTGGGGGTGAAACGTGTATTCCATGTTCAAACCTCTTACAAGTTTACGTGGGATCAACGTTCAAAGTAACGTTGCTGCCACGTTATAGGTAACGTGGGGGTGAAACGTGTATTCCACGTCGAAAACAAATTACAAATTTACATGGGATCCACGTTCAAAGTAACGTTGCTGTCACGTTATAGGAAACGTGGGGGTGAAACGTGTATTCCACGTCGAAAAAAGTTACAAATTTACATGGGATCTCTTACAATTTTACGTGGGATCCACGTTCAAAGTAACGTTGCTGCCACGTTATAAGTAACTGGGGGGTGAAAGGTGCATTCCACGTTCAAATCTCTTAAAAGTCTACGTAGAATCCTCGTTCAAAGTAACGTTGCTGCCAGGTTATAGGTAACGTGGGGGTGAAAGGTGTATTCCACGTTCAAATCTCTTAAAAGTCTACGTAGAATCCACGTTCAAAGTAACGTTGCTGCCAGGTTATAGGTAACGTGGGGGTTAAACGTGTATTCCACGTTCAAACCTCTCACAAGTTGACGTTGGATCCACGTTCAAAGTAACGTTGCTGTCACGTTATAGGTAACGTGGGGGGTGAAACGTGTATTTCACGTCCAAACCTCTCACAATTTGACGTTGGATCCACGTTCAAAGTAACGTTGCTGCCACGTTATAGGTAACGTGGGGGTGAAACGTGTATTTCACCTCAAAAACGGTTACAAACTTACGTGGGAACCACGTAACGTAACGATGAAACGTGGGTGTGAAACGTGTACTCCGTTCATAGTAAGGGTTCGTATTTACAAATACCTGTTTTTAATATTGCAACAACAAGAGATCGAGGAATGAGGAGATCACTGGCCCAGCTCGTCAGCCTGGTCGAAGATAGGGTTACGTGGCATTGCTGAAAATAAACCCACCTTGGAATGGAGGGACTAAACTGTCGGCCTCTGCGCACCATAACACATCGGTCTCCTTTGCAAGACATTAAATTACTTTAACGTTGGCTGTTTATGTCAGTTCGACTGATGCTTGTTTTCACTCCGCCTATCTAATGCGTACCGAACAATGTAAGGTCGGTTTAAAATGAGATTGTGGCGACCACAATTAAATTGACGACCACTTAAGATGAAATGCATGGACCCACGTTACTACTCAGTGCATTGGTAAGTTACTAACCCTATAGGGCCTACTGTTTGTATTACTATGTGTTGTTTACATCTACGTTGAAGTTATATTGCAAATATCTCCGCCACCACATAAAGGTACATCCTTTTACCTAATTTGTACAAAGTCGTAGACCTACCTTCGCCAAAATGCACCTAGTTTAAATATAAGTTTAATTTAAGTTATAAGTATACTCTGTATGACACTATCCATGAATGTTGCATAACGGACCTAGCTCCACCGTTCTCTTCTTTCGTATTGAGAATGATGTACATGTAGCTATTTCCTTAAATAATATTCACATTAAAATATGACGCAACCACAACGCCAACGTTGTGAAGATTCTTAATGGTTCACTGTTTTGTATGAAATAGCATGCTTATTTCTAAACGTATATTCCAGCCAGACCTTACTTAATTCTGAGATAGCAGCAACTGCCTTTTGGAAACGTGTCAGATATTACGCCTGGTCAAAAACTACATATATTTGGCAGCGGTTATCTTTAAAAAGTGGAGGTAATTTGAATGATTCTTGGAAAATTCTGGCTGTTTTCCAGAAACCGTGCGTGGAACCTCCCCTGGATCCACCCTTGTAAACTATCATTGGAATTTAAACACTATACCACATACTAAAAGTCTTTTTTTTTTTCATTAGTCTCCTTCAATGCCAAAGCTTGCAAGGATGTGATGAAATTTAACCAGCATCTGTAACGGATTGCCTTCTGTCAACTGTAAGAAGTCCATCATTTGAAGCGGTGACAAATTATCCTGGACAGTTGTAATAACTGGTATTACCCGGTACCTTGCCTCATATTTTTGACATTTGTACGCGTTCGCTTCCTTCATGAACCGGAATATCTGTGTCTAATTCCAAACTGAAAATATAAAATTCATAAAAATGTCAAAACTTGTGTTTAATGCCTAAACGCGACCCAATGGCATCTCACATGTGTACAAGACAATGATAATTACCTTTTACTAAAAAAAACCCCGAAATATTCAAACTAGACAAATGCAAATAAGCATTAAGTTTAAAATAGGCATTTGTCAACATTGCCATCATATGCTTTCGGCATACGGTGTAAGTGCCTTCTTCAGGGACTAAAATTATTTATGAAGAAGGCAAATATATCGAAAGCTACACGTATGGTGTTTTGTGCCTAGTTTTAGTTGATCTCCATAGCTTTATAATTAGATTTATTAATTTCTTTAACAAGTTTAACACGGTGATTATTATTTATCTTCAAAATTAAAGTGAGAAACATAATCACTTGTCACAATTTAGTCTAGCATCCCAGGCTTCCAGGGTCTGTGGAAGTGGTTTCCCAAGCGTATCAGGAAGAAGCATGGCTAGTATCCCTCCGAGTAAAGAAAGAGTTCCCCATGTGATAAATGGCAAGGGCCGGTAAAGATGTGCAAGAAATAAAATCTGCGGGGCCACAAGCCCTCCAGCTCTACAAAAGGAGTTAGAGAAGGTCACTCCAATGTTTCTGAAAGAAGAGAATACGTGGAATAATATGTTACTACAAAACTTGTCTCTCTCTGGGCTCGTTTTTCTTTCACACTTGTTTCCCGCCTCAATCTAAAATTATCAAAGAAAAAAGGACCTTATGAGCATTTGCTTAAACTTATACTATGAAAATGTTTGTGTACAATACACTTACTGTTATAAGAGTCAAACGCAATAGGAAAAACGCTAGTGAATCATTGTGTTAGTAGTAATTGAGTAACTTTAATGTTTATTCACACATCTTTTATTTAATAAAAAAATTGAATGCTGCGAATCGAAAGATTGCACAAATGTGATTTTGGCACTCGGTTCTGAGGCAAAGTAGTTCTGGAGAAGAAGTTCTGCACATTCTTAACGGTTTCTTCCCACTTATAATCGCCTTGTTCTCTTTCTTTATATCCATAAAAAATTAAGTGCATACCGTATCACGGTGGGGTACATTTCAACAGCCACAATGTTAAGCACGTCTTTACAAGCACCTATTACCATTTTCCCCATCACTGCCATAGCTATGACAGCCCACTCGAAGTCTGAAATTAAATTATAACAGAGTGAATCTACTGGAGAACCGATAAAATGCCTTCTCGGTCACTGAGGCGCATTTGAGACCAAGTTGGATTTTTGTTCAGAACTTGAAATTTATATCGAAATAAGAATTCGGCAATTGATAATTATTATATAAATGAATATGTCACATAAAAAGCAAAGGAAAATTCTGATGAAAATAGATAGTGTCAGAACCACTTAAATTCAAAAGATGATCTGAAAAAAATGTTTGGATAGTCTTTTTAATGAATTGATGTACTGGTGTTCACGGGGGGGAGGGGGGCATAAAGGGTATAGCATCAAAGCGAGATCAAAACCAGCGTGGTGGCGTGTTTCGAACAATTACTTTGCCCCTTAAGAGGAAATTTACAACATTTTTGTTTTATCCCATTAGCCAAATACGCAAAAATACAAACCTCTGGGGATTAATCCTGAAACGATGCAACAAATTCCACCTCCACACAATGACAACAAGAGGAGTTTTCTTCGCCCAATTTTATCCAGGAATAACATAGAAACCAGTTGTGCTGGGATATCTGCAGCCCCCAGCAATGCAAAGTTGATGTATATACTGCCACCAAGTCCTTGTGCATTTAAAGCAAGTCCATAGTAGCATATCCCTGTGACGGCCCTGGAAAGATACAGATAAAAAATTATTCAAGATAAAATCGACCAATGAAATAAATTCAACCTAGTATGTTATCAAATCTAATTACTCCAAAAATTTCAGAATGGGGAAGCGGGCCCTGATGTGGGGAGGGGATAGGGCACTGGCATCAAAACTGGCAATACTCAACTAGGGATCGAACCCACGAAACACCGCATGAGATACGAACTCTTTACCATATCATCTTAGCCAGCTGGTAGGCAAACGAATTACCAACATGGTGTTATCACATATATTATGCATGGTGTCACTTACGAAATGAAAGCATGCAAAAGAGCTAGTCTCGCTCTCTTCCACGTCCTAAAAAGATCCAAAGGGGAATGCGTTCTGGTTGTCTTTTCCTCGTTTTCCTCTTTAAAAAGCCGCTCCAACGTGTCCTCCTCTATTGTTACCTTGTTGACTGCGGCTACTTTGGCGATGATCGCCTTTGCCTCCTTATGCTTGCCGCGAGACAGTAACCAGCGGGCAGATTCGGGAAGAAAGCTAAACACAAAAGGTCGAATATTAGAGGTACTTCTGCTCTGGGTATTGTCATGTTATGCCGAAAGATTATGCATACAATTGCTCTCCGTTAATTATGTCACATTTTGCATTTGGTAACTACTCTTTGCCTTATACATACATTGTGTTCAGGTGTAGTAAAGACGTCAAATGCATTGATTAAATAGAATAAAAGGTCGTTTAATGATAGGCAATAGATGGGAGTTTCAGAGGGAATGTCATCAATTGATACTGAATCTACGAAAAATCATTTAAATGTGTTTACAAGATGTAAATAAGCAGGTTTAGTATAATAAAACGATAGGAAAAAATCATTTTATGTTTCATTCACGGTCGATAATTCGCTTGTATTGAAATTTTGACGTGAGAACAGACCCACTTACAACCAGAAGAGTATAATGACGACCCCTGGAGAACCTGCTACTAACGCCAGGTGGCGCCAGTTGCTGAAGAAATAAGCCTCCACGGCTAAAAGTGTATGTCCCAGTCCGTAACACATGCCCATCACAGTGCCTGCTATTTTCCTTTTGCTTGGCCCGACGAACTCCATGCCTATAAGAATATAATTATCAAATGACAAAATCCTTTAATAAAGATAGGTTTTGTATATGACGGTCGAGTATTTGGCGTTTCATACGAGTCTTTAAATCAATAACAACATGTCAAACTATGTAAATTTCGGATGGATGTTATACAAATAGACCCTACTTTAGGGTTTAGGCAAGTAACAGGTTGGTTTATAAATAAAAAGTGTATAAAATTTCAGTTTATAATAGGTCATGCATACATACATGATTAAAGGTACAATAGGTATATTTCACAAGACTTTTAAAAAGTAGCATAACTTAGGCTTACGTTTAAATATATCATTGTATATAGACATGAAAACAAACTAGAAAATATCTTTAAAAAGTCACTCGCCTAGGGTAACCAGTGCCATGCACATACAAGAGTCACTGGTGCCTTGGATGACAAACAAAACGCAAAACACCGTCATGTTTGGAGAAAACGCCAGTGCAATCCCTGAAACTGCTAAGACAATTACACTACCCAAAAACACCGGCCTCCGTCCAAATCTGTAAGAAATAACATAAAAAAAATCATAGACAGCGGACTGGATAAATGGGAACAGTTTTACAGATTCCTTTATTATTTTTCCACGTTGATAGGGGCGGTTTCTTCATTCGTCATTGGTTTATATTCTTCTAATGTTGACGTTCAAAGCAAGTGATAGGGTCCGCATACCTTTTAAGTGTTCCGACTGATGACGCGAAAACAAATGGTTTATATTTGATAGATAAAATGTAAAAGCAAAGGTATATGCGCAATGTTTAAAGAAATGAATTGAAAACATTTGCTATGCAGTGTGAATTATTGAGACCATTTTCTCAGAGCGACATGACTATTTTAGGAAGTGTGTTCCATTCGAAAATATGTTACCTGTCTGACAGAAAACCGGACACAAGCACGCCCAGAAGTTTACCAGAGAAGAAGATGGAAGTGCACGTGCTGAGTTGCCATGCATTCTCACAGGCCAAATCAAACTGCAATGACACTTTTGAATTAAACTTATTATATTATTTTTTCGTCGGGCATAAAATGTACAAATCTCTTAAGTTGCTTATGTTCCTGTAGTATGTCATCAATTTAAAGTCGCACTTAGGGGAGACCGGGGCTAGTTGGATCCCGGGGTAAGTTGCCCCCCCCCCCCCCCCCATCAATTTATGAAAAAGTAACTATGGGGTAAAAAATTGATCACATCATTTAGTAAAGAAACCGTATCCAATAGTGCTGAGAAAACGTCGGTCGTAAAGAAGTTTTATTTAGGCAGTGAGTCCAAATGAAAGAATTTAGCATCTTAAAGTAACTTTATTAAAGGTACATACGAACCGAGCATCGGTGGAGTGTGGATTCCCAGTAACACATGTAAACCACTTCTATTAGATTCTTATATGACTCAAATAAATTCGACATGCCAAGGGATAAACTGAATAGATCACTCGATCAGCCATAAAAGACCTTTAGACTGCCCCTTTCTTTAAATTTTTGGTTGTAAATTTAACCTACTTCCGTGACCTACTTTCCTGCCCCATGGACATACAGCTTAGAATGCCAGCAGAAAAATCCGATCAAACATCATTTTCGGGTAAAATTAAACAATGCCTCTTGGTAATTCTCTTAGTTATACTACTTGAAACTATATGCTGGCATTTGGTTGGTTTTTGTGACAAAAAATTGACTTGGTATGCATCTTTAAAGAGACTTTAAATTCTATTTTCATAAGCTTTTGATCGAATATAGTATATGTATAGGGCATCAAACTGAAGCTCATTGTTTCAAGTTTCACAGAAATATATAATCGTTGTTCATTCTAGCACCATAAATGGCTACCATCCTTTAAAATTAAAAATGTGCACATGGGGCTAGTTGGCCCCCTTGACTCGGGGCAAGTTGGACCCTCATATTGACCACAATCCTTTTCGCGCAACAGAGCTACAGACCGTTGTTGAAACAAACTCAATGGTTTATTAAAAAATTACCAGTTTAAAACTGAATTTGATACTTTTTTTTCAAACGAAAATTTATTATTCGTTTTCATTCATTAAAAACCTGCTTTATACCATTGTTAATTTATTCTTAAATAAAACAAAACAAATTTTATTGATAGATATTTTGGTTCTTTCAACACATACAACGTGACGTACGGAAACCTCAATAAATCTGCCTCATTTGAACTATTTATTCATCAAAGACTCTCAAAAATCAATTTAATAAATTAAAAATGTATAAAAATGTATTTCAAGGCTTTTACATGGGACACTTTCTTCATTTTCGTATAAGGGGCCAACTTGCCCCGCCCCAGGGCAAGTTGGCCTCCCTGGCGTCAATTGCGTTTTTTTTTTGTCAAATTCCCTAGATCTGGCATTATATTTGAAAAATAATGACGTTGCATACGTAGCTTAGTTCAAGGGGCTTACTTCGAAACCGGTTTTGTTACTCTAACTTATTCCTAGTTGGCTCTACAAGGCCAAAAGTGTCTAACTGGGCCAACTAGCCCCGGTTTCCCCTATATCAGCGTGTTTTACGAATGTGTGGCTGAGAGAGAGAGAAAGCGGGCGTCCTTTAATGTATATAATAATTAATAATCCCCTTTATTTATTCCAATTACAACATCAAAGATAACCATTATGCCTATTGTCGCTCATACCTCTGAGACTATTGTGGACCCATAGATCTTCTGACTGTACATACGCCCATTTGTACACGGCTGGGGTTCGACAAGATATCTAGTTCTATCAATCCAAGGATGTGATGCTGAATAAGTGACATTCTCATCATACGTATAATTTGATGACGATGAAACGGCATGGGACACCTCTTCATTCCAGTTCTGCAAGCTTTCATTGATCATAGGTGTTCGTTCACTGAGCAGATTTAGAAGACAACCGCTTCGTTTCCCATCTTTCCTATATGGTATAGAGAGGTTATACACATCCTCTTTTGACAAGTTCCCGTACAGTCTGATCATGAGTTCCATTTGAGTCTCTGGTATTTTACAATGGTGAATGGGTTCCGCGCCATAGAATACAATGCAGAGGGTGGACACGACCGAATAAAATGACGCCGCACAAATAAGCGCGTATCGTTGCTTCTGATAGGTACCAAGTTCTCCCAGCAGCTTTATAAACTCGTCAAATAACATAACTTCAGCAACAAGAAAGCTTCAGCTTCTCACGCGACCGACAGGCTTAAACACTGGGATGTCGTCAATGGAATAAGGTTACATCGTGATAAAAGCGGGGTCGTCCTACTTGCATATCTGGTACAGTTTGTTAAATTATGTTGTGGAAGCACAGAAATATGCTAAAATCGATTACACTGACCACACGCTAGGTCAGAGATAACACGACCAGTAGGAGGCACAGTGGTAAGTCGAGAACATCCTGCAATCCTACTAATTAATTGCTTATAGGCATTTAGAACCAAATCATTAAAGACAGAATAAAACGGATAAAGCATTGGATACAACTGCAGGGTCGTGTGATTCATGAGAAGCAGAAAAATCGGTCCTTTTCCAAGGAAAAAGCTAATATCAGTGTTTAATGAGACAGGATTATGTGAGTTTTTACCGTGCACCTATAAGGTGACCTTTTATTAAACAAGTCAAATGCATCTATATAGCTACTGGATTTCCAATTACATCTAGGCCTAATGGGTTTTCAATGCGGTTTGCGTGTTGGAATTGGGTCAGCGTGTCTTCCCTTTTGGTGTCTTGTTGATGAAATCACACTTGTTTGTGGAATACTTTGACACCATGTCGTGCAGTAGGCCTATTATCATCGTTAAAAATAAACCGATGATTCCTGTCCCTAAAAATGTTCTCTATTGCAAAGTGTTGGTCCAGGATTCCATTGTACGCTGAGGTTTCCCTGGCCATTAAACATTGTGCACCCCAAACCATTATTGAACCGAACTGTTTTGTGAGGAAACGCATGCTCTCTGGCAGATAAGCAATGGTTGATATATTCTCTTACTGAATAGGGCCTACTCTCACTTTTCCACCCACATTCAGTGGCGGATTTAGGGGTGTGTGTCAAGGGGGTCCCTAGCCTCTCCCCACTTCGATTTCTGTAAAAAAATCACACCACTAGCTGAACCATAATTCTAAACCGTACCAATTGGCACCGTTTACCCTCTAAAATAGGCTTACCAAAATTCTTCGGGACCCTTTAGCGGGCTCCGAACCCCAAGCCAAGGAAGGAGGGGGGGAGAGAGTCGGCTTCGCATATGCGGAATCCCCCCCCCCCCCCTTCAAATAGTCCGGGATCCGCCCCTGCACATGGTGAGGACGTATTTACTGACTATCGGAAAATACAGTTGCGACGGAGGATGCATGCAATGGTGCACCCTATACCACTCTTTACCGGCGGTTTACTAAGATGATTAGTGATAAAATTTTTACCGATTTTTATTTATTTATTTATTGCGTTATGTAGACTAGTTTGATATTTTAAAGTCGTTTTCCGTGATTTCTAGGTTCATTAGCCAGATTGCTAACCAATCACGCTCATAAACTGTATCCCATGATACAGAGGCATTTATAAGACAGGTAGGACTAAACCTCGCCGTTGATTTTGACCCACTGAGGCTAGGCTAACCTTAACCATTATAATTAAATGGAGGACGGATTTTCTGTTTCACGGACCCTCAATTTCGTCACACCGGTAGCAGGCCGGCCTATAGGCCTACAACAAAAGCTCGAAAGTGGTAATTAATTTTTTAAAATTAAAATTAAAAATAAAATTTTAAAGTGATACGTAAAACACAAAAAAATTGATACTCGTTCAAACATCATTAAAAGAAAAAAGCTACATAAGCATTATTTAAAAACTTGTGTGTAACAACAGAAAAAGGCAATGGTAAACACTGATTAGAGCTGTTGCCCCAGTCGTGTGAAAATCATGTTATGCGCATCACATCTGCGCACCTTCTTTTATGATTAGTTCCATAAATCTTAGATAAGATGACAAAGTTAATTGTATCCTTTTTATTATCAATATTCCATTTTTTAAACCCAAGTAAAGAGAAGAGCTGCTCTTTATATAATAATTATTATGCTTATAGCATAATGGTACCACATTATACACTTATAAGATGTATAGCTGGCACGGATCTTAAGGAAACAAGCCGTTAAGGTCGATTACGGACGGCTGGTGAGAAGTGTTTGAAGCCAATTTTATTGCCTTCCTCTAGACTTTGTTTATTTGTATTTAAAACTCAGCACACCAGATTGGCACACTCTTGATACATCTACTTATGCAGTAAATTGTATTTTTGATCGGTAATGACTTAGATATTCGCCCTCAGTTTTCGACTTTACTTCTAGTAAAACTATTGCATTGGTAGTTGTACTGCGGCAAGTACCGACTAACCTAGCTTGTAACTTGTAAGGTAAAAAAAACTGAGGCAAGGTTAATAGCTAGCACGTAACTGTAACTAAATGTTAGGTCGAAAAGTGAGGCAACCTAACTAATAGTTTGACTTATCATTACTCGAAAATTCTTCAGCTTTTTGTCAATTCTCCCTAGCTTGGGCATTTGAACTTGTAAGTCAGTTTAATGCCTATATTATCTCTTCATCCTTTTATTATGGACAGTTCTGTCTTCATTCCATGGCGACAGTTGTTTTATCAACACAACATAGGGACATGGGACCCATTAATTCTTTGGAATTTCTTGTTGCAGGAGGAATGTAACTGAAGACAAATTTATTCACATTAAGAAAAATGAATGAAGGTGAAAAACCCAGTCATGTTTGTGCTGTGATACGAGAAGACCTCAAACAGTGCCTGTTAAGTTGTGAATGTGTATCTGTGGTAAGTTTTTATGAAGGGCCATGCTGAAAAAAAATTACTTAAGAGGACTCAGGTGCACATGACTGAACAATGTTGAACATCCCCAGTTGATAACAGATACTGCCAGTTTTTACATTGACAGTTTTCTTTATGGTGTCCAATGGAAATTTTTGTAATGGCTAAATGCAGAACTCATACCAACTTTGAACTTTGGTATCTTTCTCTTAGTAACCAACCTTTGATCTTTGTTTCCTGACACTTGTCCAAACTCTGTAACAATCTTGGTATATAAAAGTATGTCGTCAGTTTGTGCTCTGGCTCTTAGGTTGCATGCAATTCAAAACTATATCAAGATGGTTGACAGGGGCCAAGAATCGCCAGGTGAAAGCTTACAATATTTTGGCAGTATTAATTCATAAGATTTATCTGTTAAAAATATGATCAAACAGTATCCCTGGTACTAAGATACTAGTAAGTGTAACGAGAAGGGTTTCATATACTCATCTTGTGTTTCAAACTTAATGCATTTACCTGTGTTAGGTAGTGTCTTGAAATAAACATAATGGAAGCAGTGAGAACTGCAGTCAAACAGTACACACTAATATCATGTTATCTGTTACCTGTAGGCAACATTTTCAGAGAAAAATTTTTTTATGGAAGGGGGCATTTTTACCCAACACCCCCCTCCCCTTTGATGACCCAACTTGTGAAATGGCATGTGGACCCTATAGGTAGATTGAATTTTGATGCAGTGTTGACCTTTTCCAGCTAAATGCTGTTCTTTCTATCCCCAGATGCCTTTCCTCCCCTGCAAATGAACCTGCATTATTTAATAACTTGTTGATTGTTTGTGTTTCAGTATAAGAACTCTTCCAAAGACTGCTTAAAAGGAACAACAGTTGATGGGTCTAGGGCACCTAAAGAGTGTTGTGAGATAGCAAAAGCGCTCTTTAATTGTAGGCGATCTCTGGTAAGAATAAATTGGTGATATTTTGCCGTAAAGTAAATCATTCTGTTCACTCTGACAGACTTGGTTACAACTCAGTGGGAGTTTCAAAATATGTGGATCTATTATAAAGTAGGCGTGAAAAATGTTTCCTATAAAGTAGGGTCAGTTGTGGTAATTAAACAGTTTCTTAATTTTCTATGGCCCAAAGTGTGCACTGCAAATCATCAATTTGTAGTGATAAAACAAACTAATTTTTCTATCAGGGTGTACATCTGTACATTCACATAAAGGATGTTCTCTTTGTATTCTGCTTTTGAATAACCTTTTTTCTAAATAGCAATTGTTTTTTTTTTTTATTTACAGATGGACAACCGTTATAGGTTCAGGGGACCAAAGGCCTACTGAGCAAATACATTTTAATTTAATACAGGATAGTGGAAAAATGTTTTTAAAGGGACTTCCTCCCCTCCCTCTCCAGGCAGTATGAAGATATGGTCGTTGTTACAAACTGAACAGTGCCAATGACTTAATAACATATAAGTGTGTATTAATGTTCTGGGTTGCAGTTAAATAGAAATAAGCAAATTGAATTCACGGATTTCCTGCTGCCATCTTCTAAACCAACTTCAGTAAATTTATTATTTTCCGCATTTTTAAAAATAGACTACAATGTCAAACAGGATGGTGACTTTCTCATGCAAAGAGATGCATTGTGTTGTTGCTCCAGCAGTGGGTTGTGACATCATATAATGAAATATTGTACCCATATATATATTACTGCGAATGTTATGCACATACTGGAACAGGTAATTGTACATACTTATTAATTGTGAAAACTGTGCATTTTGAATAAACATATTGTCGTATATATCATTTTTAAGACATTTATTTTTTTACTTCTCATAAATACGTACATTGTGTGCATGCTTCTTACATTGCTCAACGAAATGGTGAAATCTTATTAATACTTTGATAAAAAAACTTAATACGTACAGGATTTACATCTACTAATATACAAAATTATACAAATGCTGACAATGATGAAAAGTCTACATAATTCCAAGCACTTTCATAGCACCACATAAAATGACTTTAGGTCAAATGTTTCACTTTTACTACAAAAGGGAAAAGTATGACCTATGGAGGCTAAATTAAATAGTATTGAAAAAAAAAAAATGATTGCCACTGCAAGGTGTGAAAATGAACTTATTTCCAAAAACTTTGTTTTATTTTAAATTAGCTTAATATGAACACATGGCAAACTTTTCAATTTTACAAAACAAATATCAGTGAACACAGAGGTTGGATCAAATATACATACTGAAACAAGAGAAACTGAGGTTAACCCCTTATTCTATTCAACTTGTGTGCATCTTCTTAAAGCAAAGACTTGCTGTAAGTAAATGGCTGCTTATTGGTTGATCTGTTTTTAACCACGACTGTGCAGTTTCATTAGCTTTCCAATAAAATTGGTCATATTTCAAACTAGAAGTGCTAATAAATCATTTTCAGGTAATACCACGGATATTTTTTTACAATTCCTGATAAATCAAAATAATTAAAAACCCAGTGTAGTGTGAAACCATTAAATACTTGCTTATCAAGAAAATTGCAACTTTTGTGGGAGCAATCTCATCAAACAGCAGAATGAGAAAGGTGACTAAAATTAACACAAGCTTACTGACCAGCAAATATGAACTGACCTTTAAAATGTCCACAGGAAAATATCTATTCCGAGTCAGAATTTTTCACGTAAACTTTAAAACTGCCACGATAAAAGCATTACATTCTTTGAATAATAATAATAAACTTCTCTATTAGGGTACACCTTTGCTGTCACATAATGAAGTCCAATGAGTAACAAAATGGCTTCATGTACAGACACATCTGTCAATTCTGTCTGTACATAAAAATGTTAATACATATATGTAATTTTATAGGTTTGATAGGCAAATATATTCAATACAATTTATTTACACTAGTAATGGCACATGTTCAGATTCCTGTTAACATGGAAAAAGAAAAAAAAAAAAAAAAAAAAACTAGGCAGCAAAGCTTTCAAATGTACAGACAAAAAGCAGTAAATAACAATGCACAAAATAGGCTACTGTCAATTTTGATGCAAAAGTACATTATGCTTACCTGCAAATTCAACATCAAATCTTAATTATGCTCAACAGGTAATACCAATGTTAATAAAATGTGTAACAAGCATAAGGCTTCAGGCCCATGGGAGTTCAAGTTCACACTTTGAAACACTTCAAACTCAACCTGCGTTTTAGTAAGACTGACCATTCCTTTGAGTTTAGTGACAATTGGCCTGTTTTTCTTATATTGTGTTTACAGTGTTGCATGTATGCTGAAAATATGAAAAAAACAGCATAACTACTAAAATAGTGGACCAATCATGCCGATTTTCGAACTTGACCTGCATTTTAGTAAGATTGATTACTCCTGTGAGTTTCATGACAACAGGCCTATCGGTTTTCCTTGAAATGTGTTTACAGTGTTGCATATATGCTGAAAAGTGAGAAAACAGCATTACTTCTACAATAATGGCCTGAACATGCTGATTTTTTAACTTGACCTGCCTTTTATGAATATCCATCAGCTCTGTAAATATTAAGCCCAAAAGTAAAACTGTCTTCCACTTATCGTGTTTATGCTGAGAGTGCACTGTGATGGCGACGGCGACGACAGACTCAGGTGATGGCAATATGTACAGACACATCTGTGTACAGACACATCTGTGTCTGTACATAAAAAACCTACTCTTTTGGATTTGTGTAATGATCCACTTGAAAAGAAAAATGTTTCGGTTTTTCACCACGATCATGCCCTTGCTATTGCACATAGAGTTTATTCTTTAAGGATACATACGATTCTTTCATGTTATCCTTGTCAGATTCAGTCAGCCTTGAAAGTCCTTGCTAAATTTCAGAAAAGATCTGCTACAGAAATGATTCCATTTCACTGATCAAATGAAATTCTCAGAAGCACTGATATCAACACATTCAGTGAACAACACAATCAAGAGCAGGCAAAATAGGTACAAAAAACTGAAAAATCTCATTTTTACCATAAATCACTTCCAATATTTGACCACTATAAGGGATTTGACCTATTCCATTTATCTGACACATAATTTAGGAAAGAGTTATAATGATGTAAGTTAGATAAATACAGTTTAAAAGGACCCTTAGCCTGACCATGAACACACCAGTTTTGATTCTACTTCTTCTTCGACTTAGGAGATGTTGACTGGAACACACTGCTGGCAGCCATCAAGTTCTCTATGTACTGGCCCAGCACCTGGTTCTCTGACTTGAGTTTCATGTTCTCCTCCTTTACTGAGTCTACTCTGCATGACAGATCTACAATATATAACACCACCTCTTGATTTCCCCACATAATAATAATAATAACATAGAAAGAAATACCAGTAAGAAAGGTTTCGTACTGCAGTGGTAACAGGTAGTGTGCTTCCATTTACTTTTTCAAAAGATGCCAAATTTTTCATAAAATCAGTAATTAAATTCAAAACAGAGAAACCATGTAACATCCTAAAGCAATAATTAAAACAAGCAATACAAGAACCCTTTTGAGATTTGATAAATGCATCTTAATGAAATAATGCATTTATTACAAGTTTATAATATATGTCTTCTTACCGTCAAGAGTATTCTGTAATTCCAGCACCTGTGTAATAAGACGTTGTTTCTCCTCTTCCTCATCTGGATTTATGTCTGGATCAAGACCTGAAATAGAAAGAATTCATCAGGGATTACAAATATAATGTTTAAATGGCCACTATAAGACTTTTGCAAGTGACATCACTGGGTGTCAATAGCACCTTTGCATGTTGAAATTCCTATATTCTGTAATAAAAAATGATCTTGGAAATTCTTTCAAAGGCAAAAAAAAAAAGACCTTGTGAAAGTATAAGCATCCCACTGCTCTCACAAAACATAAATCATATCTGGGGAGGTGAGATACACCCCCTCCCCCTCAATAGAGAAAACTTTCATTGCGGCAACAATAGGTTACAAATTAAGCATTCAGGAGAGTGTCACCCCCTTGCATTGTATGCCTTGGAACATCTCTTGCGGATGCTTGAAGTGTTCTGGAATACTAGTATATCGCTCTGAAGACAAGTGTTTTGTCTCAAACATTTCATTGATAGATAAATCACTTACTGTTTGATGACAAGCCACTTGAATGGTAGTCCCTCTTGTTGCTATCAATAATTGCACCATCACCTGCAATGGAATCATAATTATTATTAATAGAATATCTTACCACTGATCCATTAGGGGTGTGAAAACACTTCTGTCCTAATAGGTTTTATAGCAACAGCTTATTCTACAAAAACTTCCAGCTGTAACATCTTCACTCATATCAATTTAGTTTGAGTAAGTTGGGTTGAGGTAATATTCTCCACATTAATTTCCTTTTGAACATCATTAATGAAAAGTTCTACATTGCATAAAAATTTAATGTAAAATGACCCTGAGCTAATAAGTTGTATTTCTGTATTTTTGCATATAATGAAAAAACACCTGGGAATACTTGCTCATAAGCAACCGAACGGCTGGACTGAAAAGGAGTGTTTTAAAATATGCAATTTAAATTCTAACTAACTGATCTAGACTACACTACTGTGCGGTTATTGACAATTAATAGTGACGCCACACCATGTATTTAAGGTACCTGATTCACTATCACTTGAGAGTGGCACACTGTGTAGGCTTTCTTTCTCGAAGGCAGACATTGTATCTTCCCTGTCTTCTATGTATCCAAACCAGTATATATCTCTTCAGTGATTCACTCCTCAAACAAGCATCGATCGCATATCATTTGTGTAGATCTGAAAAAATTATCTCAGTCTACACTTAAGTATAACGGAACTTCACTGGAATATTAACGTGAATATTAAGTATACCTGGTCTCAGGTATATTAGCCTTCAATATACACCTACAATATCAAGTAAATACTTCGAATTTTGTCAATTTTATACAAAACCTTACCACTCTTCCTGTGAAAACTGCAGAGGATTGCGTATCACGTGACGAAGACAACGTCATCAAACTATGTGCACAAACACAAATCTGAGATTGAGAGGCACGAGTACAAATCGGCAATAATTTTTCTCCTGAACTTTACGTTTTGATTCCAGACTTGGGTTAACTTTGTGAAAAAGGTAGGTTTTGGCCAATTTGTTTTGTTTGTCCTGATAGGATACAGCTTGCTTTGCTTTTTTTTGGTCTTGGGTATACTTTTTTTCGCGTGTCGCCGGTGCTGACAAGTAAACTCAGAAATGGGTCCTCCTTTGCACTGCATTTGGAATGGAACCTTAACCTGGTTATTTGATATTAATGTGGCTTTACGTATATCCCATTTATTTCGTCCGACTAATGCTATAACAACCAGTCTAATTGTATTTTCAAGTGTACCGTGGGCTGCGTGAACTTTATGCAATGCCACTGTACATTTAGCATCCTTGTGACGAAGATAAATATGGGATTCGGAGACTTAGAATGTTTTGTCATATCTGTATTCAAAATCAGCAGAGAGGTAGTAACATAAAAATACTAAATAAAATTTAAAAAGAATTTATGAGTCCAGCTCCTGCGGTAATAATGGGTTGTGTGGTAAGAAAACCAGTGATATTACAGCACTCTGTTTTGGTAGAGCAGAAGATAGTGAGTAAGAATTTCACATTAAAATATCTGCTTTACTTTAAAATGTATTTTAAACCTGTTTGCTCGATCAATCCCTTCCACCTTCTCAAAAAAGGGAGAAAAGACATTTTGAAGCCTGTAACAACATATCTCAGAATTTTTTTCTGTTTTTTTGGGGGTCTGATGGAAAAAATAGTAAAATTGATCTAGATAAATTGATTAAAAAAAAAAAAGAAGTAATAAAACAAATGAATACATACAAAGACCATTTTGTTTCTGTTCCTCTCTCTCTCTTTTTGGTATCCTGGAACTTTTGGGGTTTACTATTATGAAAAACATGCATTTGTTCAGTGCCGATGAGATCTCTTGTTGTTTTCTTTGTGACAGTAGCATCATAATCATTTAAAGAATGAATGAATATAAGGTAAAAAAAAGTCTTGATGAAAGGAATAGATATGCTGTATGTGGAGAATGAAATTTTTATTTGGTAGCATCATCAATCCTATTTACTGTGCAGACCGAGTAGTAGACACTGGGATGCATACTAATACTCTTGCTCTGTGGTGTTTACTGTAAAATGAAAAGAGGATGTGGAGTGTTTATTATCAGATACTTATTGTATTTTTTGTTTCTTCGCATTTTATAGAATCAAGACTCATGCTAATGCAGGTTCAAAATAATTGTCTTTTAAGCCAAAAAAAAAAAGTTTGTGCTTAATCAAAATTTGATCTTTGAATTTGAACACATGCAGGTTTCTTGGTAAAAAGGACTTCTTTTTCAAAGAAATAAAGAAATACCATCGCCACAGCACCTCTTTTTAAAATTTCTGGCAACAATCCTGATAGTGAGTAGCATCTTTTCTGTTGCCTTTTGACGAAAAACATTATTCCACACGTTATCAGAAAACAGCAGATTTCAACTCTCTCTTTCCCATAGGACTGCATATTGTCTTTGGACACCTGAATCAATCAAGCTGATCAGTGAGACGGAAATCAGACAAACGGTGCAGCACTCCAAAGATCTGTGCAGAAAGGAGCTGTATGATCTGAAATGTCATTTGAAAAGCCATTCAAATCTGAAGGGACCTATACTCTCTGTGTTCCATATTATATATGCATGGGAGATGACAGCAGCATTTAGTTAAAATCTGGGTGAGGTATCTGTTTCCTAGAGTTTTAAATGGCAGAAAGGAAATGAAAAGTTAAAGGAAGGGGATTTGTTATATTAAACTGGGAAACTTAATCATGTTACAAATATTCAAAGCCACCGTCAGTGCTTAAACGTTCAAAGTGTTTCTCGAGTGGTAGCTGTGAGATATTGACATCAGAAAAGACTTGGAAAACCTTGTGCTAGAAATTTATGAGTGGCATGAGATTAAGATAAGTAATGATGTGAAAGTTCATAACCAAAGAGTGGATGCAAAATGGTGATAATAAAGAGACAACTCGAGATTCATGGAGATGTTGGTATGAAACAAACCTGACAAATATTTATGGTTCATTTACCCACAGTTTTCTTCAGGCTCTCTATATTGTTGTAGATAGATATTTTACCATCATGCTTTCATTATTTTTTCACCGTGATATTTTAAAATAGATATTTCACTATGATATTTTAAATAATAGATGTTTGATCATAATGTTTTCATTAAAAAGAAACAGTGTCTGCTTATAAGCGAGAAGTCCGGCTGGACAGTAATGCAATACCTTTTGGCACTGTAGAGTATAGCAAACTGAATAGATACTATAGTAACAGGATACTTCCTGAGGGGTCTGTAAATGTGCTGGAACATATTGGTGACTGTTATGGGAAATATTTTTGTAACAACAGTAGATGTTTGAAAGATGCTGGTATTTTAAAACTGCAGTTTCTTATTGGCCTAAAAAATTATTTATGTGTAAAGGTGCAGTGCCTTATTAACAAATAAAGTCATTTTAACTTGAGCATTAAATCTCAGCAGCTATGTATGTATTCTACACAGGTATTCTGTGCCACTATTAATGGCATTGAGTTGACCTGGTAAGCCCATGGGTGACAAGTAGTTAATAAATAAACTAAGATGTATGCACAGACACTCAACCTGATAAACCAGGAACAACTTGAATGTAATAAGCAAACAGAAGCCCAGTGATAGGACCACTTTGTGAATGTAAACAGATGACCTCTTATCTCTCTCTGTTGTGTCCACTCATGCTTCTATGTATTAACTTAATGGTTATGAATTATCTGAATTACAGTGCTGTACCTGTCCCAGTTAATCCTTGTCCTAAATGGGGACTCTTTAATAATTTATCTATCTGATAACTGTATGAGTAATGTCTGCATAGGGTCATCCCATTGCTTATGTAAACAGGTGTTTATGTTAGTTTATCCATTCATTATTTCATAATGAAGTGATAGCGTTTGAAGTTGAGTAATATCAAAGGCTGACTGTCTGTCATTGTACGACTTACTAAGACACCGTAGTCATATTTGTCTTCTAGAAGTGCCACACCATATTTGTCAACAAGGAACTCATGGTATCAACTTGTGCTTTGCTTTTAGAAGATACTGAAAGAGGAAAACAGGGGTGAGGTATATGATACAAATATAGAGATTTTCCCGTGTGTATATAAAAGTGTACACGTGTGACTTTGCACATTCATTGATAGAAATCCCATATTATAGCAGAGACAAATCCCATATTACCTTAGCCCATTGCGCACCTGAACATTAAGACCTACGAGTACNAAAAAAAAAAGTTTGTGCTTAATCAAAATTTGATCTTTGAATTTGAACACATGCAGGTTTCTTGGTAAAAAGGACTTCTTTTTCAAAGAAATAAAGAAATACCATCGCCACAGCACCTCTTTTTAAAATTTCTGGCAACAATCCTGATAGTGAGTAGCATCTTTTCTGTTGCCTTTTGACGAAAAACATTATTCCACACGTTATCAGAAAACAGCAGATTTCAACTCTCTCTTTCCCATAGGACTGCATATTGTCTTTGGACACCTGAATCAATCAAGCTGATCAGTGAGACGGAAATCAGACAAACGGTGCAGCACTCCAAAGATCTGTGCAGAAAGGAGCTGTATGATCTGAAATGTCATTTGAAAAGCCATTCAAATCTGAAGGGACCTATACTCTCTGTGTTCCATATTATATATGCATGGGAGATGACAGCAGCATTTAGTTAAAATCTGGGTGAGGTATCTGTTTCCTAGAGTTTTAAATGGCAGAAAGGAAATGAAAAGTTAAAGGAAGGGGATTTGTTATATTAAACTGGGAAACTTAATCATGTTACAAATATTCAAAGCCACCGTCAGTGCTTAAACGTTCAAAGTGTTTCTCGAGTGGTAGCTGTGAGATATTGACATCAGAAAAGACTTGGAAAACCTTGTGCTAGAAATTTATGAGTGGCATGAGATTAAGATAAGTAATGATGTGAAAGTTCATAACCAAAGAGTGGATGCAAAATGGTGATAATAAAGAGACAACTGGAGATTCATGGAGATGTTGGTATGAAACAAACCTGACAAATATTTATGGTTCATTTACCCACAGTTTTCTTCAGGCTCTCTATATTGTTGTAGATAGATATTTTACCATCATGCTTTCATTATTTTTTCACCGTGATATTTTAAAATAGATATTTCACTATGATATTTTAAATAATAGATGTTTGATCATAATGTTTTCATTAAAAAGAAACAGTGTCTGCTTATAAGCGAGAAGTCCGGCTGGACAGTAATGCAATACCTTTTGGCACTGTAGAGTATAGCAAACTGAATAGATACTATAGTAACAGGATACTTCCTGAGGGGTCTGTAAATGTGCTGGAACATATTGGTGACTGTTATGGGAAATATTTTTGTAACAACAGTAGATGTTTGAAAGATGCTGGTATTTTAAAACTGCAGTTTCTTATTGGCCTAAAAAATTATTTATGTGTAAAGGTGCAGTGCCTTATTAACAAATAAAGTCATTTTAACTTGAGCATTAAATCTCAGCAGCTATGTATGTATTCTACACAGGTATTCTGTGCCACTATTAATGGCATTGAGTTGACCTGGTAAGCCCATGGGTGACAAGTAGTTAATAAATAAACTAAGATGTATGCACAGACACTCAACCTGATAAACCAGGAACAACTTGAATGTAATAAGCAAACAGAAGCCCAGTGATAGGACCACTTTGTGAATGTAAACAGATGACCTCTTATCTCTCTCTGTTGTGTCCACTCATGCTTCTATGTATTAACTTAATGGTTATGAATTATCTGAATTACAGTGCTGTACCTGTCCCAGTTAATCCTTGTCCTAAATGGGGACTCTTTAATAATTTATCTATCTGATAACTGTATGAGTAATGTCTGCATAGGGTCATCCCATTGCTTATGTAAACAGGTGTTTATGTTAGTTTATCCATTCATTATTTCA